CAGGACAACATTAATCAGGTAGCCTTACTTTTATAGAAACAAAGGATGGATTCAATTGCTTGCCACATCAGCAAGTAGCACATAAAATGGACATGTGCTTGGTAATCAATAATAACCCAGAGAATTGCTCAAATGAGCTTGTAAATCATATAAGCATCTGAACCTATTCCATTTTAACTATTTCTCCAGCTGTTTAGTTGCTATTGCAGAAACATTTTCTTTGTACAGACACCTATCAGAAGTTTTAACTAGGGTTTCCCCTACAATAACATATTAACCATGATCTGTACTTGGAAATTTGCTCTCTTACATTGTCTCTTTCAAATCCAATTAAATGTCATTAGCGTCTCAGTCATTACTGTGCTTGTTCAAATTTCATGAACCAATATATTACACAGATTTGTGCCATGCGGAACAATGAGACCACACAAGTTGTTCTAAATTATGTATAATAGCTACAATTTGCCAGTTTTGAGACTACTGTGATTACCTTGGGACCACTATAGATGGCATAGTTTAGAACAGCCCATAGGCTGCTCTAAATTATGCTGGGGGCCATTTTGACCCAAGGATACCCCAGAATTGGAAGCACAAAGATGGCCTTTCCTTCCCATTCTGCAGTGAGTCTAGACACGGCACAGCTGAGATTCTAGCCCAGAGGACAGACAGCTGAAGTAAGCTGGTCACTGGTGCAGGGCTGTGACGGGGCTGGGTATAAAGCGATTTTTCTCTGATAAGAAAAAAAATTCTTCTGCATGTTCAGCTTTAGCAGTTTGGGAATAAGAACTTTAATGAAGAAAATTAAATCCTTAATTCCTTTCTTTGCTGGGATTCCACATTTTTGAGCCTACATCTGTTTTTTCCAAATATTAAATTCTTGCCACAAATTTAGTTGACACATTAGTACTGATTGTCACCCGAGACATATTCAGCCAGGCTTTTAATGCACGTGTTCTGAATTCTTTATTGGTCTGTAATTTTTTCTCTCTGGATTGCCTATCCTGCATATTGTATGTTTAGCAGAAATTCATCCCATCTCTGACTGAGATGAAGTCAATGATTCTCTCAGGCTATTGGTTCTATTACTGAGTGTTTCCAGCATGCCCTCAGAAATGAACTAATAGGAGAGAGAGAAATGACTCCAGAGAGAAAGGCAGCTTTGAATCAGGCTTGGCAAATCATCACACCTAAAAAAGGTTCAAACATTCTGACCTTCTGTTAACATGTCTCTATGAAATTGGAACTCACAGCCGACCAGAACCTTGAACGTAAACCACTTAACTTTGTGTTACCTAAGAGTGCATCAGAAGGATGCCTGCTGTAACAAACTCCAGCGTATATGTCAAAGACTCTAACTTATTAAAGAGTTTTATAGCCTTCTCCTCAATCAATATTTCTTAATAGATTCTCCTCAGAAATTAAGTCAGACTTTCTGGCCTTTTGTTCTCCAGATTCTATCCACATACAGTACCTCCTTCAGCAACATGGGAATGATCAAAAGCATTCTCTACCCTTGTGCTGCTGAGAATGGTCTTGAGATTAAAGCCCAGGAGTGGAAATCAAGAGAGCTGTGTGTTAGTCCTAACTCATTCCTAACTACAGACTCCCTGTCCTATCTACAGACTCAGTCCTAACTACAGACTTCCTGTATGAAACAGGGCAAGTCACTTATCTTCTCTGTCCAGGGCCGGTGCTACCATTAAGGCGAACTAGGTGGTTGCCTAGGGCGCCAAGATTTGGGGGCGCCAAAAAGCTGGGGGAGCCGTGCGGCAGCCCCCCACCCCAGCTCACCTCTGCTCCACCTCCTCCCCAAGCACGCCGCCCCCGCTCTAAGGCGGGAGAAGTGGAGCAGCAACAGCGTGCTCGGGGAGGGGGCATAGCAGAGGTGAGCTGGGGTGGGGAGCTGCCGCACGGCTCCCCCCGGCCAGGGGGGGGGGAAGCTGCCGCGGGGGGGGGGG